TCGGCAGCGGCGAGGCCGCGCTCCAGTATTTCGGCGCGGGTCCGCACGACGTCACGGCGTTCGCAATCGACGCGGGCGGCGCGCCCGTCGTCGAGGCCCGCGCGACGCACGCCGTGGCCGTCGCCGACGACGCCTGGCGCTGCGGCGGCGGCGACGCGTTCCCGCTGAGCGCGGCGACGCGCGGCGCCGTCGAGCGCGCCGCCGCCGCGGGCGGCCCCGGCGTCCTCGCCGTGGCCTGGCCCCGGCCCGGCGACGTCGTCCGCTCGGGCACGCTCGTCGCGGGGCTCGCCGTGGCCTACGCGAACCGGACGCTGGGGCGCGTCACGGGCACGCTCTGCCTCGCCGCCGCGCCGCTCGGCGGTCCCGGCGAGCTCCGGAGCTGCGCCGATTTAGAAGACGCGGAGCACGTCGAGCTGCGCGTGCCCGAGGCCTGGACGGCCAGCGGACCCGCGCGGCTCGGCCTCGGGTTCGCGCTCCGCGGCGCCGACGGCGCGCTCTTCGAGGCGCCGCCGCTCGACGTCGTCGTCGACGCGCGCGAGGCGCCGCCGCCGGTCGCCGGCAGGGCAGGAAAAGGGTGATTCAACGTCGCTTCAACGTGAGTGTTCCGCGCGCGCGCGTTCCGGAAAAAGCATCCACGCGTCGAGAGTGCTCCGAGAGATGATCGCTCGTCCAAAAATTAGCCGAAACGAGTGGAAAACAACCGAGATAAGAGCCTCCAAAGTTGGAAATTTTGCACCCTTTTCCTGCCCAGGTCGCCGGCGACGTTTTCGGCGAGCTCGCGGGCTGGGAGCTCTCCGCCGCGGCCCTCGACGCCCGGCCGGAGCTGCTGCCGTCCCTCGACGCCGTGCTCGTGGTGTGCCGCTACGACGAGGACCTCTCGTGGCTCCGGTTCCAGCGCTTCCCGGCGCTCGTCTACGAGAAGCGCGCGGACCGCGCGGCGGCCGCGGGCCGGCACGGCGTGCCGCGGAACACGGCCAACGAGGCGTCGGCGTTCCTCAAGTTCATCGTCGACTACTACGACGCGCTGCCGCGCGCCATGGTCTTCCTCCACGGGCACCGCTACGCGTACCACATGGAGGACGTGTTGGGACTGCTCGCGGACCTCGACGTCGCGGGCTTCGACTACTGCAACCTCAACTTCGCCGTCTGGGGCACGCACGAGGACCCGGAGCGGCGCCTCCTCTACAACGACACGCACCGGCCCTGGCTCGAGGCGCACCTCGGGCCCCTGCCGCCGCTCCTCTTCGACCGGTGCTGCGCGCAGTTTCTCGTCACGCGGGACCGCGTGCGGGCGCGGCCCCGGGCCTTCTACGAGGCGGCGCTGGCCCACGCGTACTACGACGTCGAGCCGCTCCCGGAGGGCGACAAGGAGGCGAACCGCCAGATCGGCCTGCTCTTCGAGTGGCTCTGGCACCACATCTTCGGCGAGCCGCCCGTCGACCCGGACGTCGCGGACATCGTGCCGGACATCGAAGAGACGGACATCGTCTACCTCTCGGGCGACCGGCGGCGGCCGCGCTGCGCGCCGCGGCCCGGGCGACCGCGGGCGTAACTCGGCTTAGGTTTGACTAGGGGGCGCTAGTCCGCCGGCCCGGAATCTGGCTGCAGGGAGATTGCAGGGAGCGGCGAACGCGCCCAGGATCCGTCTGGTGTCTCGTCGAAAACCCGGGCGGCGGCCCCGGGTCTCCTTCGCAAAGGCCTCCACGGAGTCGAGGTGCGGATCCAGGATGCTAGAAGGGATGGATGCGCCGATGGAGATAATAGCTCTAGTACACGCTGCTTTAGCGCGAATGTCAAGCCACGTTGTCGACTTGAACAGCCGTATGAGCATCGGGAGAGCCGATGATGCGCTCGCGCCCAAATTGCCAAGAGCGTCGACAGCCTCCACCCGACATCTACTGCCTTGATCCTGCCAGTACTCCCACAGCGCGTAGAAACTGTCGTGAGTAAACCTCCTGCGAAGCCTGGCCGCCGCGTCCTCGGCACATTGCGAGCAGGTAAGTCCATCTTCCGATCGCACGCGGGGATCATCAAGCCTGTTCGAGTTGTTGCACAAAGCGCAGTCTCGCTGAATAACGTTCGTCAGCACGAGGAAAAGACGGTCTCTTTCGCTGGGAGAAGTATCGAGAGCTGCGAGCGCCGCCCATGCCGCGCCGCGTCTAGTGCCATATACTTCGCTTTCCTTTTTTACCCGGGACGTTTGGCCCGCAAGCATGGAATGGGCTTTCTCGTCGCGCTGACAAAAGAACCATTCGCGTAGATGCGCGGGCATAATTTTGATTCGCCGAGCCGCCAGAGCGCCGGCGCGTGCAGAGGCAAGACGTTTCGGCGCGCCCAGCGACGGCGCAGGCAAACGATGTTCCCCGCTAGCTCCAACACCGCTTGCCGCATCGTGGACATAATCCTTCCATTGAACAGACACGAGTCGCAGAGACTCGAGACGCGACAGGTCGCTATGACACTCAAAGTCGAGGACATGCACCCACAGCACCTTTGGCAGCCGCGGCGAAGGAATCGTCCGCGCCGGGCTCCGCCGACGGCGCGCGATTTCGAAATCGAGTCGCCCGCGAAGCCGCAGCAGGGTCGCGTCGTCCAGGCACGTGAAACTCATCGCGGCAGCCGCCGAGCACGTCGTGTCCATCGCGGGCAAGCCTGGCTCGCGCTTGAAGCCATCTTGAACCATTGTTGACGGTCGGCCTTTGACGTCGCCAGCTGCGGGAGTTGTGCGCCGGGAGTTTGCAGGGGAGCCTCAGGGGATGCGCGCACGACTCACAGCGGCCACGCCCTTACGCGCGGGCGCGCCTACATGACGACGGGCTCGTTGGGCGCGTTGACGACGGAGCAGCCCTTGCGCGGCTTGTGCGCGTCCCAGAAGGCCTCGGGCAGCTTGGGCGCGTAGCTTTCGAGGCCCGGCGGGCACCAGGACTCGAAGGGCGCGAGGTCGACGCCCTGGGGCTGCGCGGAGCAGTAGGGCCGGGACCCGGGCTTGGCGAGGTACTGCTGGTGGTACTGCTCGCCGTAGAACCAGAGCCCCCCGTACTGGTCGTAGTCGCTCGCGGCCGCGACCTCCGTCGTGATGGGCCGGCCGAGCTGGGCCTCGTAGGCCTTCATCGACGCCTCGATGAGCGCCTTTTGGTCGTCGTCGAAGTAGTAGAAGCCCGAGCGGTACTGCGTGCCGCGGTCGTTGCCCTGGCCCATGCCGCTGCAGGGGTCGTGGGCCTCCCAGAACCAGCGGAGGATGTCGACGAAGGAGACCTTGGCCGGGTCGTAGACGACGCGGACGCCTTCCGTGTGGCCCGTGCGGCCGCTGCACGCCTCCTCGTAGGTCGGGTTCGGCGTGAAGCCCGCGCAGTAGCCCACGGCCGTCGACGTGATGCCGTCGCCGGGGAAGCGCCAGATGCCCTTCTCGCTGCCCCAGAAGCACCCGTTGGCAAAGACCGCGACCTTGTGGCCCTCGGGGACCGCGTCGAGCTCCGTGCCGAGCACGAAGTGGCGGTAGCCCTCGATGCCGGGCATCTTCTGGGCGCGGCCCTTCAAAGCGTCGCCGGGCGCCACGAGCGCGCTGTCGCCGCCGCCCATGAGGTCGAGGAGCGTGCCCAGGGATCGCGCCGGGCTCCGCGGCTGGAGCCGCGCGACGGGCGCCTTGAACGCGACGACGGCCAGCGGCACGGCGAACTGGAGCGCGCGGAACATCATGGGCGGATGTGTGGTGTCTGTCGTGTGGGGTGTGTGCGTCTCCGCTCGCTGCGACGACGGAGCGCGCGATCTGCTGGCAGGGCCCGGCCTGCTCCTCGTGGCTTTGAGTTGATACATCCTCAATGTTGACGCGCGTTCGGCGTCGCTCCGGGCAGCCCATCTCCGCCGGGAAAGCCCGACACCATGCAAGCAAAGCACAAAGCACACACACACCCTTCCCGCAAGCGACGACGACCTCGTCGCCCCAAATCAGCCCACCCTTTCCGCAAGCGACGACGACCGCGTCGCCCGACATGCACAACACCTACCAAGCCACCGAGGCCCAGATGGAGGGCCTCCTCGCCGCGCGGAGCATGAAGTCCATGAAGAGCGTCAAGAGCCTGCGCCGCCCGGCCTCGGGCCTGCGGCGGCCGTCGTCGAAGACGCTGCCGCCCCTCAAGACGCAACCCACGAAAAACACGCTCGACGACCTCGACGCCGTCGCCGTCGCCGACGACTACGAGAGCGACCACGAGGCGACGGCGCCGCGGAAGCCGCTGGGGGCGTTCAAGCCCGCGGCGTCGTGGGTCACCTCCCTCATGGGCCACTGGGTGCGGAGCATGAAGCGCGTCCGCGCCGAGGCGGCCGCCGCGGCGGCGTTCCGGGACGCGGCCGCCGCCGCGGCCGCGGCGGCGGGCGCGGAGCACCGGACGCGCGCGGAGCGGCTCGCGCGGAACGGCACGACGGGCGACCTCGACGACCGCATCGCGGCCTTCCGCGCGACGCGCGCGCGCGCCCTGGAGCTCCTGCGCTCCGGTGGTGTGGTCGCGACCCACGACGCGGCCGCGCCCGCGCCGCTGTCGAAGCAGGGCGACCTGTCGTTGTACTCGTACGCGGAGCAGAAAAAGCGCCTCGCGGTGCGGGGCCACGCGGGCTTCCTGAGCCTCTGCCACGATCTGTGGGCGTTGGTTAGTTTTCACGGCGAGCTCCGGGAGCCGGCCTACCTCGAGATGATCACGCGCTTCCACGCGGTGGTCATCCCGCCGCCCCTGGACGCGAAAGCGGTCCGCGCGTCCGCGGAGGCCGACTGGCAGCGGGACCGCCACGGCGACTCGCTGAACTTCGCCGAGTTCTGCGACTCCTTGTTCGAGGCCGTCGACGTCTGGACCGAAAGTTCCGACGCCGAGGAATACGTGGAGATCCTCGAGCGGTTGGTCGCGGGCGCGTGCAAGGCCGACGGCTGCGACCTGGCCTGGCGCCCCGCCGGGGACGTCTGGTTCGACGCCGCGGCCTTTGGCGGCGGCGCGAAGCCCAGGTTTGCGTCCGCGCGGGCCATCCAGCGCGTCGCGCGCGGCTTCTCCGCCAGGCTCGGGACCTCCGAGGGGGCCCGAAAGAAGAAACACGCCGCGAAAAAGAAGAAGCACCACGCCAAAAGCCCCGTGCGCCGCTTCGCGGTCGCCGAGGTCGACGCGAAGATCGCCGAGCTCTTCGCCGCGCGCGTCCACTCGCTCCGCTACTTGGCGGCGCACCCCGGCACGAAGCCGCCGCGCTTCGACGCCTTCGTCCTCGAGCACTTTGTGCGCGAGCACGGCTCGCGCGACGCCGCGAAACGGCACTTGAAGGCGTTCTTGAAGGCCTGCGACGGCCTCCTGCGCGAGAACGCGGACGGCCTGTCGACCGTCGACGTCGGCGACGCCTCGACGCCCAAGCACGCGCGCGCGTGCCTCTTCGCGCTCGCGTCGGGCCTCACGTCGGGCGCGCCGCGCAACGCGCGGCTGGCCGAGGGCTTCATCTTCCCCGTGCTCGCGGCCGTCTTCGAGGAGGACGCGGCCATGGAGGGTTTGCTGAAGCGCCGGGAGGCGATGGACGCGGAGAAACTGGCGGCCGCCGTGTCGTCGCGGCTCCCCGCGGCGGCCGCGCCCGCCGTCGCCGACGCCCTGGCGCCCGCGGTGGCGCCCCGGGCCCGCGCGCCCGACGGCGTCGACGTCGACCTGGGCTTGTATCTTTGCGCCGCGGTCTTCCTCCGCGAGGAGCGCGTCGCCGCGTTCCGGCGGACGTGCGCCGCGCGGCGGCTCCAGCGCGCGCACGCGCGGCTCAAGCGGTCCATCCGCCAGTCGCGCCCCTCGCCGCGCCAGTCGCGCCTCTCGCCGCGGCGCGCGCTCGACGCCGCGCGGCGCGCCGACGCGCGCCTCAACCCGGCGACGCCGACGAAGACGCCGCGCCGCGCCGCCGCGGTGCTCGCGCGCGCGCGCTCCCGCCCGCTCGTCTCCGCGGAAGGTTAACTACATTGACGCGAGGAGGAAGTCGAGCGCGGATTTGATCGCCGCGACCTGGCCCAGGTTGCACAGCTCGTCCGTCGCCTTCGGGCTGTCCGGGTAGACCTCCGTCGTCGTCGTGAACTTGGCGTTCGTGACGCCGCCGCAGAGGCCGAGCGCCGCGTAGTCGTAGAGGATGACGCCGTCGTCGACGACCGGCGACCCGATGATCGTGCCGTCGGGATCCGCCGGCGCGATGTGCGTCACCTCGGCGACGCCGGCGTTGACGGCGCGCTGGAAGTCGAGCCGCGGGTTCTGCTCGTCGCCGCACAAGTAGAAGCCGTCGGGGATCGTCCCCGGCTCGCTGTCTTCGCCGTCGCGCGCGGCCTTGGCCTGGGCAGGACAAGAGAGCGAAATTCCCAACTTCAAAGGCTCCTCTCTCGGCCGTTTTCCACTCGTTTCGGCTGATTTTTGGACGAGCGATCATCTCTCGGAGCGCTCTCGAAGCGTGGGTGCTGTTTTCGGAACGCGCGCGCGCGGAACACTCACGTTGAAGCGACGTTGAATCACCCTTGTCCTGCCCTGGCCTTGGCGACGCGGAATTCGGTCTCGTCCGTGTCCGTCGTCTCGTGCAAATCGACGTGGCACGCCCACCGGGCGACGCCGCACGACTCGAGCAGGCGCACGAGGCCCGCGGCCTCCTGGGAGCCGCACGCCGCCGCGTCGCCGCGCTTGAAGGAACGATTCGGGTCGACGGCGTCCGGGTTCCACCGCTGGATGTGCTCGTAGCCCCAGGGCGACACGCACGGCGCGACGACGACGTTGAGGCCCCTGGCCGCGTAGGCGAGGGCGTCCGTCGCCAGGAACCGCAGCGCGCCGTGGACGCCCGACGTCTCGTAGCCGTGGACGCCGCCGGTGACCAAGACGGACGGCTTGGCGCCGTCCCAGTCCTTGGTTTTCACGGCGTAGAGCGCGTGCGCGATGGGACCATCATAAGTGATCGTGCCGTATTCGACGACGTCGAAGGACGCGCGGAGCGGGTCGAGGGCTTTCACGACGTCGTCCTCGTAGCTGCGCGACTTGACGCGCTCGCTGCGCCACTGCGCCACCTCCGCAGGGCCCCACTTGGCTCCAGGCTGGCCGATGTGGTAGGCGCGCGCCGCGGAATGCGCCGCCATGAGCACCGCCGGCAACGTCGCGCGCATGCACGTATAAAAGGTCTTAAAACGAGCCCACCTCTCCGATGACCGGTTCATCATCCTAGTTGAAGACGATGATGCAGTTTTCACCCGAACTTAAAGCTCGCCTCGCGGCGGCACTGGCGGGGCGCGGGCCGCTTGCGCATGAAGCGGTCGATGTCGTCCATGCGCGGCGCGTCGTCGGCGTCGAAGACCTGGCCGACGTGCTGGAAGTTCGCGGGCCGCTTCGTCGGGAAGCTTTTCGAGTTCAGGAATTCGGTGCAGAAGTAGGCGTCGTGGCCGAGCTGGTCGCGCTTCACGAGGGGCCAGACGACGCGGTTCAGGAACCGCAGGTCGCCGCCGTAGGCCTTCTTGTCGCGCCACGCGCGCACGAGGCCCGCCATCGACTTGCCCCTGAGCGCGCCGCGCCGGCCGCCGAACATGCCCGCGTTGATGGGCCGCTTGTGGTTCGGGTGGTCGCGCATGACGTGGATCGACGCCCCGCTCGCGAGCCACTCGTCGACGGCGGCCTTCTCGCGCGCGTTCAGCCGGCTGTCGCTGTCGCGGACGACCCACGCGTCCACCTCCGGGTCGTCGGCGACGAGGAAGCGCCAGAACATGCCCGCGATCTTGCCGACCATGGCGCGGTCGTCGATCATGATCACCTAGGCGGGACGTGTTCCGGAGCACGAGACGCGAGGACGCGGGCGCGACGACCTCCGCGCCGAGCGCCGCGAGCCGGTCGCGCACGGCGGCGGGGACGGTGGCGTCGCAGTAGAAGCGCGCGACCCAGCCGGGGAAGACGTCGCCGACCATCTCCGCGTTGCGGATCGCGCCGTTCGTGTACTTCTTGTTCTTGCCGTAGAGGCCGTAGCTCACGACCCGCTTGCCGGACGTCGCGTTCGCGGGGGGCGGCGCGGCGGCGCGCGCGGCCGGCCGCGCTCTGGCCGCCGGCCGCGCCGGGGCGGCGGCGCGCTCCGCCGGCCGCGCCGGGGCCGCGGCGCGCTCCGCCGGCCGCGCGGGCTCGCCCGCGTGCTCGCCGTGGCCTGCGCTCGCGCGTCGTCGTCGCGCGCGGACCCCCCGCGTCGCGGCGCCGCGGGCGCGCAGTCGCGGTGCACGGTGACGCCGTAGGCGCGGCGCATGGCGTCGTCGAAGGCCGGCGCGGGCGCCCTCGGCGCGTCTCTCCGCGGCGGCCGCCCCCGGAACATGGCGTCGAGCGCGGCCTCCCACTGGCCCGCGACGCGCGCCTTCACCTCGGCGTTGTGCGCCGCCATGCCGCGGCCGATGGCCGCGAGGTCCGCGGCCTTGAAGACCCTGGGCCTACGGATCGGTTTTCATTCCCCGCGGCGACGACGGAAACGACGCACAGCGCGTCGATGCTTTCGAACGTCGTGATGTGGGGCCAGGCGTAAAAGTCGCTGAGCTCGAGCCTAGCGGTGGCGTATGTGTCAGTGCCTCGCCAAAAGTCACGCCGGGTTTTTGTGCCAGGCGAGGGCCGCGGCGTCGCCCAGGTCGTCGTTCGGATCGTGGTCGAAGAGGTCGAGCGTCGCGTTGCCGTGCCTCGGCAGCGGGCTCGCCCGCCGCGGCTTCCCGTGGACGCCGAACCACGTGCGCTCCTTCAGCAGGGCAAAGCGCCGGTGCCAGCTCCAGAGCAGCTCCTTCGTCGGCACGAAGAGCGGCAGGCACATGCGGTAGTACTCGAAGAGCGACATGACGGACACCTGGTAGGGGATCAGCACGAGCGCCGGGTGGCGCGCGAGCTGGGCGTACTCGAAGCGGCCCGGGTAGGCCTCCTTGATGGTCTTGACGGCGCCCGGCACGAGGCGCTTCAGCTTCTGGACGAGCGGCGCCGGCGGGTCGCGGCCGCCGGGCCCGACCAACACCGGGAGATTCGGCCGCTTCGCCGCCGACGCCGCCGCGTAGCCGCACCAGTTCTCGTAGACGGGCACCCGCAGGCCCGTGAAGTACTCGATGTAGCGCGCGTCGTACAGGTTGTTCGCCGCCACTATATTTCGGGGATCCGCCGCGATGCGCCGCAGATTCGCGCTCCACGCCTTCCACCGCTTCGGGTCGTGGCGGCCGATCTCGTAGCGCGTCGACGCGACGACGACCAACGGCCGGCCGAAGGCCATGAAGACCTCGCAGAGGCCCGCGGCGTGCTGGCAGACGAACGCGTCGACGGTCGCCATCTCGGGATCGTCCTTGTACGCGTCGTAGAACTCGCGGCGGAGCCGGTTCGGGCACTTGCCCAGGTTGATGCCGTTCTGCTTCGTGATGACCTTCAGGCCCTTGGCGCAGGTCTTCGTCAGGTGGCAGTGGCCGCTCAAACTTTTGTCGACGACGTCCTGGCCGAGGCCGCCGAGGACCGCCTTGAGGTCGTGGATGGGGCTGATGTGGAAGTCGCTGCTCCAGAATGTGTAGCGCGGCCGCTGCTGCGCGACGACCGCCGCGGCGCACCAGAGGAGGCGCCGCATCATTCGTGTGAGCTGCCCATACGCTGCCCCAACCGTGATATAGATTCAGTTCAAGTTATTAAGGTTGAACACTTCTCGCACCGCTGTTGCAGCCGGCCCCTGAGCGCGCGGAACTCCGCGAAGGCCGGGAGGTCCTCCAAGACGCGCTCGTCCCACCAGGCCGGCGAGACCGGCGCGTCCCAGAGGTCGTCGAGGAGGTCCGCGCGCGGGTCCCGCGCCGGCGGCAGCGCGGCGAGCGCGTAGGGCACGCCCTCCAGACCCACCCGCAGCCGCGCGAGCTCCAGCGCCAGACCGGCCTCGTCGAAGGTGCCGACGCACTCGAAGGGCTTCGGTGCGCCGTCCAAGCCCGCGAGCGCGGAGAAGTTCGGGAGAAGCGCTTCGTCGTCGAACAGATCCTTCCCGTCGAAGATCTCCGCGACGTCCGCGGCCGCGCGGAACGCCCGCAGCACCTGGGCAGGAAAAGAGAGATTCAATGTCGCTTCAACGTGAGTGTTCCGCGCGCGCGCGTTCCGGAAAAAACATCCACGCTTCGAGAGCGCTCCGAGAGATGATCGCTCGTCCAAAAATCAGCCGAAACGAGTGGAAAACGGCCGAGATCGGAGCCTTTGAAGTTGGGAAGTTCGCTCTCTTTTTCTGCCCCGCGCAGCGCGAGGAACACGAAGGCGCACTTGTCGCAGCGGCCGCACCACACGTCGCAGTCGCCCGAGTCGTTGCAGGACCGGAAGAGCGACCAGTACGGTCGCAGCGCCGGCTCCAGCGCGAAGATGCCCGCGATCTGCACATCCCACAGACGCTGGAGCGGCGAGAAGTAGGCGACGCGGAACTGCGCCGCGAAGCGCGTCTCCCAGTCCAGCGCCTTGTCGAACTGGTGGTTCACCTCGCGGCCGTTCAAAAAGATGCCGTTGCCGTCGGCCGCCGACCGCTCGTTGCCCACCACGAAGGCGTCGTAGCCCAGCAGGATGCGCGACGGCGGCGCCGTCGAAGGCGACGAGCGCGGCCCAGGGGTGGCCGCAGGGCTTGGCGCTGACGGATCGCTTGGCGTCCAACGCCTCGTAGCCGAAGTCGTGGCGCGCGACGACGCAGTCGCCGCCGCTCGTTTCGACGACCTCCCGGAGCCGCTTCGAATGGTCGAACTCGCCGCCGCCGTCGTCGACGTAGAGCCAGTCGCAGATCTCCACCGCCGGCTGGGCCGTGGCCAGGAACCGCGCGACGAGCGAGTCTTTGCCGCCGCCGAGCCCGCAGAGCACTCTTTTGCGTCCCGACGTTTCCGTCGGCGGCCGCGCGTCCTCGGCCGCCTCGCCGGCGTCGACCTCGACGTCGCACACGGCGGCCTCGAGTCCGTTGACGGCCGCGAACTCGGCGAAGGCGTCGCGGTAGAACTCGCGCCAGAAGGTCCGCCGGTCGGCGGAGAGCGGCACCGCCGCGCTCTCCACGCGGCCAGCGGGCGTCGCCATCCAGTGCCAGCAGAGCACGACGAGGCCCGCCGGCGCGAAGGCGTCGCGGATTTGCGCCGCGTCGTCGACGCCGGGCAGCCGCACCGTCAGCGTCGACGTCGTCTCCGGCGCGCCGAGGAAGCTGTAGGCGTAGGTCACCTTCCACGCGTCGCCGCCGCAGCGATCGACGTCGCAGCGCTTGTAGGTGAGCGTGTCTGGTGCGGAGCACAGGCCCGCGAAGGCGCCGCCGAGCGCCGAGTCGTCGTCGCTGTCGTCGTCGTCGCTCGGCGGCAGGTCCATGTCGTCGAGGTAGCCGGCCATTTGGTGGCTGGCGGCGCGCGGTATGAAGTGAGCTGCTGCTGTGCTACGTTACTTGAATGATCGCTGCGTTGCGGCGTCGACGTGTGGATGGAGTTAGCTGTCTCGACGGCCGAATGAGGGCTCTCAGACGGCGTCCAGCCTGCGTCCAGCCGACAAACAATCGCCGATTGCAGTCCCGATTGCAGTCGATTTGCCGCAAAGGTGAGGCCAAACTTTGCGCTCCCACGGAGACGATAGAGACCGCGACGCGCGCGCTCCGCGGCCTCCAAACGCTCCGCCGACGCGCGCGCGCCGCGCCGACAGGTCCTGGCGCCGGCGGCGGGCATGGCGCGGCTGCGGCGCGCGGCCGCGGGCAACCGGCGCCAGACCGTCGCGCTGGGCCTCGCCGCGGCCGTCCTGACGACCCTGCTGCTGACGCAGCGGCCCATGAAGCCGACGAACTCCGCCAAATTGCCCGCGAACCGCGCGCGGCCCCGCGTCGCCGTGCTGACGGCGGCGACGCGGCGGCGCGTCGCGTCCGCGGACGCGGAGTACGGCGAACTGAAGGCGGCGTACGTCTACGGGCCGTCCGTCGACAACAAGCAGCGCTACTGCGTGCTGCGGGGCTGCGACCTCATCGTGGGCCACGAGCTGCCGGAGGCGAGCGGCCGGTCCGCGCGCTGGACCAAGGTCGCCTGGCTGCGAAGAGCGCTGGCGATGGACTACGCGTGGGTCGTGTGGATGGATCTGGACTGCCTGTTCGCGGACTTTGGCGACGTGCTGGAGGTCCTGGACCCGGCCTACGACGGCCACTTCACGCCGGACACGGGCGACGAGAAGCGCGTGAACACGGGCTTCTTCGCGCTGAAGAACGGGCCCTGGGCGAAGAAGTTCGTCGAGGACGTCTGGCGCCACAACGACGGCGGCGAGGGCCTGTCGGACCAGAACTCGTTCAACCACGCGCTCCGCGAGCTCGGCGACCTCGAGCGGGCGTCGCGCGTCAAGGAGTACCCCAAGGCGCTCCTCAACGCCTTCCCGCGCCTCGAGGGCGCCTACGTGGCCACGGAGGACTACGAGGCGCCGCAGGGCGACGGCGACGAGTCCTTCGAGTCGCGCGTGATCCACTTCGCGGGCCAGTTCGGCGGCGCGCGCAATTCGGACGGCGTGACGCCGCCGACCATGCTCGTGCAGTTTTTGGACTACCTGCTGAAGCGCCACGCGGCGACGCTGACGGCGTTCGAGCGCGAGCTCGCGGGCGACTTGGGGGCCCACGCGCGGCTTCGGTCGCCCGCGTCCGCGCGCGGCGTGCTCCACCGCGCGGCGAAGGCCCTGGAGCCCTGCCTCGGTGCGCTGCGGACCTACGCGCCGGACCCGGAGCGCCTGTCGCCCGTGAGCTTTCTGAAGGTCTACGCGCCCGCCGAGGGCGGCCCCGCGTGCGACGCCGGCGCCGCGCTCGCCGCGCTGAAGCGGCCCCTCGCCGCGCTGCTCCGCGACGCGCCGCCGGGGCCGCCGGGGCGGACGCCGGCCTACCCGGCGTCGCTGCTCTGCGCGGCGCCGGACGTCGGCGACGGGCGCACCGCGGACGTCCTCGACGCGCGGGACCTGCCCGACCGCGCCGCGCGGCTGCCGCGGAAGCAGGTCCACGCGACGTTTCGGGGGCCGTCGGGCGACGCGTTCACGGTCGTCGCCCACGAGTGCGCGGCCCTCGAGCACGGCGACGCCGTGCTCGACGCCGCGTCGACGGTCCGCTTCGCGTCGGGGTCGCAGCGAAGGCCGCCGGCCGCTGTCGGCGCGGCGCCGGGCAAGGTGACGGCGCTCGCCGTGCTGTCGCCGCCGCCGCGGCGCAAGGCCGCGTCCGAGGACGCCTACGTCTGGGCGACGCTCGCGCCGCTCGCGCTCCGGTGCCTCGCGGACTCGCCGCGCGGCGCGCGCCTCGCGCTCGCCGGCGCCGCGGACGCCTACGCGGGCCACGGCGCCTGGGCGCGGCTCGGCGTCGACGTCCTCGACGTCGCCGACGTCCGCGTGGAGCCCGACGAGCTCTTCACGTGCCACGGCGAGGCCGCGGCCGACGGCCTCGAGCACGCGGGCCGCGTCCGCGACGCGCTCGCCGGCGGCGGCGCCGCGGCGCCGGGGCGCGTCGTCGTGCTCTGCGGCGACCGCTGCGCGTCGCTGCGCGCGCTCGGGGCCGTGGTGGCGAACGTGGTGAGCCTCGACCCCGGCGGCGTCGGCGACGAGGCGGCGGCGGCGGCGCTGGCGACCGCCGCGGCCGTCGTCGTCGCCCGCGACGACTCGCGCGACGCCATGCTCGCGGCGCTGCGCGTCGGCGCCGGCGCGCTGCTCGTCGATGTGTATGACAAACCGCCGCCGGCCGGCGCGGCGTCGCTCGGGAAGCGGCTGAGCTTCGGGCTGGGCCTGCGCTACGCGGCCGTCGACATGGACGTCGGCGCCGTCGCCGCGGCGCTGCGGCGCGACGCGGACGACGCGGCCTTCGGCGCGTGGCTCGACCGCGACCGCGTCGGCGCGTTCCTCGACGGTTTGGGCCTCCGCGGCGCCGGCGCGGAGATCGGCACGGCCTACGGCGACTACGCGAAGCAGATCCTCGACGGCTGGCGCGGCTGCGAGCGCCTGACGCTCGTCGACAGCTACGCGGGCCGCTACGCGGACCGCGAGGCGACCGCGCGGCGCGCCGTCGCGGACGACGCGCGCAACGGCCGCGCGGTCTTCCTGAAGCGGCCCGCCGGGGACGCCGCGGCGTCTTTCGCGGACGAATCCCTGGCCTTCCTCTACGTCGACGGCGACAAGGACGCGGTCCTCGCGGATTTGCGCGCGTTCTACGGCAAGGTGCGGCCGGGCGGCCTCGTCGCGGGCCACGACTGGAACCAGGGCCGCGTCCGCGCCGCCGTCGAGGCCTTCGTCGCGACGCTCGCGGCGACGCCGCGCGTCCACGCGACGGGCGACCAGGCGCCCCGCCTCGACGTCCGCGGCGTCGCCGTCGCGCCGTGCTGCCCGACCTGGTACTTCCGGAAGCGCGGCGACGGCTAAATTTTTAGGGCGCTCTGCGCGCGCGTGGTCTTGTTCATCGGCGGCCGTCGGCGCGGGGGCGCGGCTTCGACGCGAGCGGGCCCGTGGGCGTGATGGAGCCGCCCATGTCCGCGAGCTCGCGCTTGAAGTACTCGATCGTCTCGGCGAGGCCGCGGCCGACGGTCCACTTGGGCTGCCAGCCGATGTGGGTCTTGGCCGTGGTGATGTCGGGCTTGCGCTGGCGCGGGTCGTCGGTCGTCGCGGGCAGCCTGACGATCTTCGAGCGGCTCCCCGTGAGCTTCTTGATCGTCTCCGCGAAGCCCGCGACCGTGTATTCGTCCGGGTTGCCCAGGTTCACGGGGAGGCTGTAGTTGCTGTTCATCAACGCGTGCAACCCGTCCACCAAATCGTCGACGAACTGGAAGGACCGCGTCTGGCTGCCGTCGCCGTAGAGCGTGATGTCCTTGTTCTGCAACGCCTGGATGATGAAGTTGGAGACGACGCGGCCGTCGTTGGGGTGCATGCGCCGCCCGAAGGTGTTGAAGATGCGCGCGACCCGTACCTCGACGCCGAGCTGGCGGTTGTAGGAGTACATCATCGTCTCCGCGACCCGTTTGCCCTCGTCGTAGCACGCGCGCGGCCCGATCGGGTTCACGTTGCCCCAGTACGTCTCGACCTGGGGGTGGACCTCCGGGTCGCCGTAGATCTCCGACGTCGACGCCAGGAGCATGCGCGCGTTCACGCGCTTGGCCAAACCCAGCATGTTGAGCGTGCCCTCCGTCGACGTCTTTATCGTCTTGATGGGGTTGTACTGGTAGTGCGGCGGCGACGCGGGGCACGCCAAGTGGTAGATCTGGTCGACCTCGAGCATGATGGACTCGACGACGTCGCCGACGATGAACTGGAAGTGGGGGTGGTTGAACCAGTGCTCGATGTTCTTCTTTCTTCCGGTAAATAAGTTGTCGAGGACCGTGACCTCGTGCCCGCCGCGCATGAGCTTGTCCACGAGGTTCGACCCGACGAAGCCCGCGCCCCCCGTCACGAGGATGCGCAGCTTCTCGTTCTGCGGCAGCTTGCGCACGGGCGGGTAGCCCGTCTCGCCCGCGCGCGTCGCCGTCGCGCGCATCGTCGCGACCTCCTCCAAGACCGCGGACCGGACGACGCCGCCGATGACCTGCTCCGTCATGGCGTCCCGGTCCAGGGACTCGCCGCCGCCGAGGAGGGACGCCGACGCGAGGGCCAGGCCCAGGACCGACGAGAGCACGAGGGCGCTGTAGAGCGGGCGCAGCCGGATCTGCTGCTGGATGCGCCGCGCGAGGCCGCGGTCGTCGCCGGGCTCCATGTTCCCGATCTTCGAAAGTCGGGCGTCGTCGGCGACGGCGACGCGGGCGAGCGAGCGGGTGGCGAGGCGGCGGCGACCGTCGAAACGGGTGTGCGAGCTACGACGCGGCGCGCGACTTAGCGTTGCGGGAGCGGCTCGCGGCGCGGAGAATCGCTGACTCTGATTGGCTGACGCCCGGTGCCCAGCGTCCCAGGCCGCCGCGCGAGCTTCCGATGCTGGCCGTGCTACCGGTGCTCCGTCTTATGGCGCGACCGGCGGTCCTTCTTCGCGGCGTCGTGGAAGGCCGTCACGGCCTCGTGGTCCGCGTACTTGTTCGGCCCCGTGGTCCCGCGCGCGCCCTCCCACCAGCCCGCGGGCGTCGGCGCGTCCTCGATGCGCCGCATCTCGTCCGCGGAGAGCGCGAAGGCCGGCGCGGCGAGGTTCTCGGCGATGTGCGCCGGCGTCGAGGAGCCGGGGATCACCGCGCAGCCCTTCTGGAGCGCCCACCGGAGCAGGAGCTGGGGCACCGTCGCGCCGTGGGCCGCCGCGAGCGTCGCCAGCGCGTCGCCGTGGGACCCCGGGAACCGCGAGCCGCCGAGCGAGTTGTAGGCCGTCGTGACGACGCCCCGCGCCTTGAGCGCCGCGACGGTCGCGTGCCACTCCTTGGAGCTCCAGGGGTGGTACTGGATCTGGTTGACCTCCGGCTGTACGCCCGTCGCCTTCTCCAGCGCGTCGATCTCGGGGCCGTTGAAGTTGGAGACGCCGATGGCCCGGACCTGGCCCCGCGCCTTCGCGTCGACGAGGCACCGCCAGAGCTCGACGGTCTTCTCCTCGCCGAGCTTGGGCGTGTGGATTAATAACAAGTCCACGAAGGCGACGCCGAGCTCCTCGAGCAGGTCCGCCGTCGCCTTCGCGCACTGCTTGTAGTTCGCCGCCCTCGACGGGCTGATCTTGGACGTGATCCAGACCTCGTCGCGCGGCACGCCGCTCTCGCGGAGGCCCCGGCCGATGTCCGCGTGGTTGCCGTAGGCCATGGCCGTATCTAAAAGCCGCCCGCCGAGCTCGAGGTACGCCTTCGTCGCCGCGACGATGGGCGGGCCCTTGGCGGTCTTGCGGCAGCAGGTGCCGAGGCCGTTCGCCGGCATCTCCAGGCCGCCGGCGAGCTTGATGGTTTCGAGCTCGGCCAGCGCCGCTGCGACGGAGAGGCAGAGCGCGATGGCGCGCATCGTTGAGAGGATGGGTGTGCGAGACCGTCGCAGCTTCGATGTACGAATGTGGCTGGTATGACGGGCTAAAATGCCCTTCTAACCTGGGTTCACCCCACAACCCACAACCCACCCAAGCTGGGATGCGACGCGTCGAGGCGCCGAGTTCTCGCCCCAGATGCCACAGCTCGCTAAATGTTTACCGTAAGTTCACCTGCTCCACCAGCCGCACGATGATCGCGCTCCACCGCAGCTCTCGTCAGTGGCTGAGCACTCGCTCGACCAGCCTCGGGCAGCTCTGCACGATGAACTTGCTCCGCAGCGGCGCTCGACAATGGCTGAGCACGCGATCTATGCAGGTCGAGAACGTCCCCGGACGACGACGGCTAGCTACCATGCCGCCGCGCAAAGTTAACCAGACTACGTTCGGCCGCAAGGGCGACGCGCTCCAAGCATGCTTCGCTTCCCTGCTCGACGTGCCCATGGCCGACGTCCCCAACTTTCTGGCGGAGCCGGACTACGTGGCCGCGATCCAAGCGTATTTGAGACCGCGCGACCTCGCCTTCGTGCGGCTCGACTTCGACGGCGGCGCCGCGCCCTTCGCCGTCGACGGCGTGCCCTGCGTCGTCGTGGGAACGTCCCCGCTCGAGGGCGGCATCCGCCAGTGCTGCGTCGGCGTCACGCGCGTCGACGAAGCCGACGGGATGACCGTCGACGTCGTCCACGACCCGCACCCGGAGACCGCCGGCTTCATCGACGGCGCGCCGCTGCTCTGGGCCGGGCTCCTCGTGTCGCTGCGGCCGAGCGCGGCGCGCGTCGACGTCGTCGTCCCCGACGACGGGTACATCTAAGGGAGGACGCTTACCCCTGCTCCTTCGCGGCGCGCTTGGCCATGAGGCCGAAGAGCGCGTTCGGCGCGAGGGCCCGCAGGAGGCGCGCGGCGACGGCGGACGCGCCCGGCGCGACGACGCGCTCCGCCTCGCGGCGGTCCGCGGCGTCGATGAGCGCCGCGGCGACGTCGGCCGGGTCGGCGCCCCGCGCCGTCGAGGGGTCGTCCTGCCCGTGGGCCGCGCCGGAGCCCGTGAGCGCGTGGACGCTGTGGCCCGTCCTCACGTAGCCCGGGCACACCGTCGTGACGGACACGCCGGCCGCCGCGACCTCCGCGCGCAGCGCGTCGAAGTAGCCGTGGAGCGCGTGCTTCGACGCGGCGTAGGGCGCGCGGCCCGGCAGGCCGAAGAAGGCCTGCACGGAGCTCACGACGACGACGCGGCCCGGAGCGCCGCGCTCCGCGAAGTGCGCCGCGCACGCCTTGCCGACGCGCGCGTGGCTCAGGAAGTTGACGTCCATGATGCGCCGCAGCGTCGCGTCGTCCGTCGCCGCGACGGTCGACCGCGACCCGACGCCGCCGTTGAGCACGACGGCGTCGAGCGGCGCCGCGAGCGCCTTCGCGATCGCCGCGCCGACGCTTTCGCCGTCGGCCTGGTCCATGACGACGACCTCCGCCGACGCCGCGCCGCGCGCCGCGCAGGCCTCGGCCACGCGCTCGAGCTCGTCTTTGCGCCGCGCCGAGAGCACGAGGCGGGCGCCGCGCGCCGCGTAGCCCAGGCTCACGGCCTCGCCGAGGCCGCCGGAGGCGCCCGTGACCCAGACGCGCTCGCCGGCGGCGACGGGGCTCGACGGCGCCGCGCCCATGAGCGACAGCGCCGAGCCGGCGGCCGCGAGCAGCAGGCAGCGCAGCAGCGGCGCAATGGCTCCGACGCGCCCGACGTACTAGTACTCGAGGCGTCGAGCTGGGATGATTCGAGCGGCACGATGATGTGTCGTTGAACGATTGTTGAAGCTAGGCCTATGCCTCCCGACCAAGTTCCCGAGCTCTCTCTGTGCAGCCCCCCCGGCCTGCTGACGATGCGTCCCCGACCGCCGAAGCGCCGGACGCCGAAACGCCGAAACGCCCAGCGCGCTCCGACGCCCGCTCCTCCGCAAAACCACCCGCCGCGCACGCTTAGCCGTTGGGGACGCCGACGGACGCGGCGGTGAAGTAGGCCGTCTCGCGGAAGACGGACTTGCCATTCTTGATGGCCGGGAACTTCTCGTCCTTGGGCTTGGGCGGCGGCGCCTCGCGCCTGACGAGCTTGATCTCCTCGCCGTCGGAGACGGCCTCGCTCACGAGCCGCGTGGGATTCAAGTACGAGTCGTCGAGCCGCGCGCAGTAGTGGTCCGCGAGGTCGATGGCCGCCACGCCGGCCCGCGTCTTCGCCACGGTCTTCACGAAGGCCTTGGCCAGCGCGGCCATGGTCTTGTTGCCCGGCACGATGAGTTTCAGCTTGAACGCTGCGGCGCCGTCCGGCGGCGCGTACGACACGTACACCTTGACCGTGTCGACGAGGGCCGCCATGGCGACGCCGCGTGCCGGCGCGCGGCGCGGGCGCCGGCGGTGTGGTGGGCGGACGAGACGATGGGGCTGCCCGCGGCCGATGGTGAAGTTCATGTTGACTCGCTCTCTCGTCGGGCGACGCTGTGGGCCGTCAATCGCGACCGCGGCCGGAAGTTGCGCGAGCACGGCCTCGCGCGCAGCGCTGCGCGGCTTTTAGCCCGTCGCCCTTTGCGCCTCGGCGCCACGTTAAAGCGCAGCCATGACGACGCTGCTCTCCGGGACGACCTTTAGCTTCTTCACGCCCGAGGAGCTGCGCAATGTCAGCGTCTGCGAGGTCGTCAACCCCAAGACCTTCGACGCCCAGAACGTGGCGAACCCCGGCGGCCTCTACGACCCGCGCCTCGGCCCGACGGAGCGCGGCGCCGTCTGCCCGACGTGCAGCGAGACGGAGCGGAACTGCCACGGCCACCTGGGCCGCGTCGAGCTGCCCGTTCCGTGCTACAACCCCCTGCTCATGGGCCAGGCGCACAAGCTGCTCCAGACCCAGTGCCTGCACTGCAACGCCCTGCGCCTCGACCGGGCCGTCGTCGAGTACTACGTCGCGCGGATGACGTTGATTTGCGCCGGCGAGTTCCAACGGCTGGAGAAGCTCGAGATGCCGCCCCGGGGCCGCAAGCAGAAGACGTCCGGCGCCGGCGTCGACGAGGGCAGAGAGGGCGACGACGAGCGGCGCCGGCAGATCGCCGCCTTCTGCGCGGCCGTGCGCGCGGACGCGGCGTCGGGCGTGTTGACGTCGCCCAAGTCCGGCGCGCACGCGCGCGCGGAGCGCCAGCGCTGCGCGCGCGAGTTCTACGGCGCGCTGCGCGCCGCCGTGCGCTGCGAGACCTGCGGCGCCGCCCAGCGCAAGATCCGCAAGGACGGTGCGACGAAGTTCTTCCAGCAGCCCCTCGACCAGCGGTCCGCGCGCGGCGACCTCGCGCTGGGCATCCGGCCGCCCAGGTCGGCCCACGCGTCGGCGAAGAAGATCAAGCGGCCGGGTTTAGACGATTTGGCGTCGTCGGACGACGACAGCAGCGACGACGACCAGGAGCTCGGCGGCGCGTTTCTGCAATCCCAAGAAAAGCGCGAGCTCTTCCTGACCTGCTCCGAGGTCATGAAGCAGCTCATGCTCCTCTGGAAGCACGACGGCCTCGCGCTCGACGCGCTGCTGGGCGTCGACCTCTGCGCGACGGGCGCGGGCGATGCCGGCGGCTACCGCAAGTTCTTCCTGGAGGTCATGGCCGTGCCGCCGCCGCGGTTCCGGCCCGCGCAGCTGGTCGGCGGCGTCATGGCCGAGCACCCGCAGAACGTGACCCTCTCGAAGGTGCTCACGCTCTCCGGCGAGATTCGGGGCCTGGGCGTCGACGGCGACGAGGCCAAACGCAAGTCGGGCACGGAGAAGGCGAACAAGCTCCTCGAGCTCTGGCTCCAGCTCCAGTCCGAGGTCAACAACTTCATCGACTCGTCGAAGTCGTCGAACAAGGACCAGCCGCCGGGCATCAAGCAGCTGCTCGAGCGCAAGGAGGGCCTCTTCCGCAAGCACATGATGGGCAAGCGCGTCGACTTCTGCTGCCGGTCCGTGATCTCTCCCGACCCGTTTCTGGGCAACGGCGAGATCGGGCTGCCCGTGCGCTTCGCCAAGGAGCTGTCCTACCCGGAGCCCGTGACGCCCCACAACGTCGAGCTGCTGCGGTCCATGGTCGTCAACGGCCACGCGTCGTGGCCCGGCGCGAACTGGGTCGAGCTGAAGGGCGGCGGCCGGAGCCGCGTCGATTTGAGCCGCATCACGTCCGTGAAGAAGCGCGCGGCGCTCGCGAAGCAGCTGCTGACGACGCCGGGCCAGCGCGTCGGCCGCCACGTGCTGGACGGGGACTGCTTCCTCGTGAACCGGCAGCCGTCGCTCCACAAGCCGTCGATCATGGCGCACGTCGCCAAGGTGTTGGCCGCGGACTCGCTCCGGGAGCACCAGACGCTCCGCATGCACTACGCGAACTGCAACGCCTACAACGCGGACTTTGATGGGGACGAGATCAACTGCCACTTCCCCCAGAGCGAGCTCTGCCGCGCGGAGGCGAAGCTGATCGCCGCGACGCACGAGCAGTACGTCGTGCCCACGGACGGCAAGCCGCTCCGGGGCCTCATCCAGGACCACGTCGACTGCGCCGTGAAGCTGTCCATGGCCGACTCCTTCATCCCGCGCGACATGTTCTGCCAGATGGCCTACGAGACGTGCCGCGTGGTCGTCGGCGACGCGTCGCGCGTCGACGTGCGCATCGCGGGCCTGCGGCCGGCGATCCTGAAGCCGCGCGTGCTCTACACGGGCCGCCAGTTGATTTCGTTGGTGCTGGCCCACGTCACGCGGCGCTTCGCGGCATCCGCGGGCCGCGACGACTTCGTCCAGGAGTTCGAGGCTGTGCCGAAACCAACCACTGGTTTGGGTGGTCCTGACCAAACTTGAGAATTCTCTAGCTCGGTCAAATCGAAGTCGATTCGGCTGATTTTTGGACGGATCGATCGCTCTCGTCGAGTTCTCGAAGCCCAGCCGAAGAGCTTGTGTCAAAACATTCGAATACGCGCACATTGAAGTCGGGTTGAAGATTTGGTTCCGGCACAGGTTCGAGGGCAAGGCCAAGGTCAAGGCCGAGGCCATCGGCGGCTTCGCCGGGCTCGACGAGCAGCTCGTCTACGTGCGCAAGGGCCGGGTCCTGCGGGGCGTGCTGGACAAGGCGACGGTGGGCGCGTCGGCGAACGGGTTGGTCCACGCGATCTACGAATTGTACGGCGCGCACGCGGCCGCGGTGTTGCTGGACGCGATCTCCCGCATGTTCACGTTGTACCTCCGCTACGTCGAGGGCCACACCTGCGGCATCGGCGACCTCGTGCTGACGGAGAAGGCGGAGCAGGCGCGCGCGGCGCTGGTTTTGAAGGCGGAGCAGACGGGCCTGGACGCGCTGAAGGAGTTCCTCGCGGCGCGGCGGCCCGCGGGCGTCGCGGACCCGACGCTCGCGGCGGCGACGCCGCGCGCGGCGACGCTCGCGCAGCGCGCGGAGCTCGCGGCCGTGCTGTCCAAGGACGGCGGCGGCGCGGCGCTCGACGGCCACATGCAGGGCGCCTTGGCGCCCGCGCACTCGGCCATCGTCAAGGCCTGCCTCCCGAACGGTTTGGCGACGATGTTCCCGAAGAACTCCTTCGCGCTGATGGTGACGACGGGCGCCAAGGGCTCCATCGTGAACCAGAGCCAGGTCTCGTGTGCTTTGGGCCAGCAGTCCTTGGAAGGCCGCCGCGTGCCTTTGATGGCCAACGGCAAGGCGCTTCCCTGCTTCGAGGCCTACGACCAGTCGCCGCGCGCGGGCGGCTTCATCACGGACCGCTTCCTCACGGGCGTGCGGCCCCAGGAGTACTACTTCCACTGCATGGCCGGCCGCGAGGGCCTCGTGGACACGGCGGTGAAGACGTCGCGTTCCGGCTACCTCCAGCGGTGTCTGGTGAAGCACCTCGAGGAGCTCACGGTGTGCTAGGACCACACGGTCCGCGACGCCGAGGGGTCCGTCGTCCAGTTCCTCTACGGCGACGACGGTCTGGACGTCATGAAGACCCACTTCCTCAGCGGCGCCAAGGAATTAAAGATCCTCGGCGACAACCACCGCGCGGGCGCGTCGCGCGAGGGCCCGGACGCGGCGAACGCGCGCGCGCACGAGGCGCTCGGCGCCGAGGTGCTCGCGGCGCGGCGCGGCTACGCGCTCGAGGCGCTGGAGGTCGGCGCGCGCGTCGACGCGCGGCAGATCGCGGGCAAGGGCCGGACGCGCGCGGATCTCAAGGGGTCGTCGTGGTCGCTCGCGACGGTCGTCCGGGCGCGCGGCGGCGACGTCTACGACGTCAAGTTCGACCACGACGGGTCCGTCATGAAGAAGGCGCCGCGGACCGTCGCCGCGGGCGAGGGCCGTTGCGTCGAGGTCCTGCGCCTCGCGGCGCGGCAGCCCCTGAACGCGCGCTACGCGCCCTGGCGCTTCGGCGCCGTCTCCGACAAATTGGAAGCGCTGCTGGACGACTTGGACGGCGGCGACGCGGGGTCCGACATCCGCGCGGCGGTCTACGGCAAGTACGCGCGGTCGCTGGCGGCGCCCGGCGAGGCCGTCGGCGCTTTGGCGGCGCAGTCCGTCGGCGAGCCGTCGACGCAGATGACGCTCAACACGTTCCACCTCGCGGGCCACGGCGCGGGCAACGTGACGCTGGGCATCCCCCGGCTGCGCGAGATCATCATGACCGCGTCGGACCACATCAAGACGCCGCAGATCACCCTGCCCCTGACGTCGCGCGACGATTCCGTGATGGCGCGCGCGCGGACCTTCGCCGACGGGTTGAACAAGGTCTGCCTGCTGGAGCTCGCGGACCTCAAGGAGGGCATCGCCTGCCGCGAGCGCGTCCACCTCTCGAAGAACCGGCTCCTGCGGCGCGAGTACGTCGCGACGTTCCGCCTGCACGAGGACGCGAAGATCGTCGCGCACTTCGGGCCGGGCCTCGTGCCCGAGGAGACGCAGGGGCTCTGCCGCAAGCTCGAGGCGGCGGTGCGGAAGCTCGTCAAGACGATGACGGCGCCGCCGGCGAAGAAGCTGCCCATGCCGACCGCGTCCAAGCCGGAGGCGGAGGCGGCGAATGGCGCCAAGGGCGGGGACTCGGACGACGACGACGACGACGGCGACGACGCCGACGACGCGGAGCAGGGCACGCTGAAATTCGGCCGCAAGCGCGAGGTCGACGGCTACGACGACGACGACGGCGGCGACGACGACGAGGCGGTCGAGACCGCCATGGACGAGTCCGATTCGGACGACGAGGAGAACGGCGGCGCGTCCCCGGCCAAGGCCGCGCCCGGCCGGAGCCCGGCCGGCGCGAAGCAGGCGCCGAAAAAGGCGCGGGCCGCCGTCGGGTCCAAGACCGTCGAGGTGGGCTGCACGTGCCACTTCGACGAGCTCCGCGACCGCCTCGCGTTCAAGGTCGTCGTCGACGTCGGCGCGGGCGCGCCGCGGTGCTCCCTCGCGTCCATGGTCGAGGCGGCCTGCGGCCGCACGGTGGTCCGCGAGGCCAAGGGCGTGACCCGGGCCGTGCTCGTGCCGGACCGCGTCGTCGACGGCGCGGAGACGGGCGGCGTCGTCGTCGAGGGCGACAACTTCGAGGCCATCTGGAAGGAGACGCTGGGCTTCGCCGACGCCGTCGACGTCGACAACCTGGAGTCGAACGACATCTCCGGCATCCTGCGCACCTACGGCGTCGAGGCCGCGCGCGCGTCCATCGTCCGCGAGGTCATGGGCGTCTTCGGCGTCTACGGCATCGAGGTCGAGCCGCACCACCTCAGTCTCATCGCGGACTACATGACCTTCAACGGCGCCTACAAGGCCATGAACCGCACGGCCATGGCCCAGAACTCGTCGCCCTACCTGCAGATGTCCTTCGAGACCACGGCCGACTTCCTCGCGAAGGCGGCCATGGCCGAGGGCCGCGAGTCGCTCGCGTCGCCGTCCGCGCGCATCGTCGTCGGCCAGCCCGTCGGCGTCGGCACGAACCACTTCGACGTCGTCGTGCCGCTCAAATAAGCGTCCATTAACAGATTAATGGGAGCCGCTCCGGTTCAGCGCGCGGAACTGGGCGTTCATGCCCGCGAGGTCCTGGTTCGACGCGTCCTTGCGCGCGCTCCCGAGGATCGCGAGCGAGCTCCGGGGGTCCGTGAGCTCGCCCCGGAGCCGGTCGACGCACTCGTAGCGGTTGTTGCGGTACGTCTCCGCGTTCAGCGACGGCGGCCCGGCGTGCCAGGTCGCCTCCCAGGCGACGAGCTCGAACATGTAGGTCGGGTGCGGGCTCGCGATGGGCCGCCGGTCCTTCAGCCACGCGAGCGCGGCGAGCAGCGTCATGCCCGACGGCGCCTCCGGCGGCGGCGTGGTCGACCGCGACGACGGCAGGCCGCTGTGGGGGCCGCGCCGCACGAGGTAGCAGAGCACGGCCGCGGAGCTCCGCGAGATGCCGCTGTTGCAGTGCACGAGGACCCGGCCCCGCTCCCGCTTCGCGCCGTCGATGAAGGCCACGAGCTTCTCGAAGTGGCGCGCCATGGAGTCGCCGGCCTTGTCCGTGCAGTCGCCGCGGTAGTAGGCGAAGGACTCGGGGTAGTAGTCGTCGCACTCGACGGCCATGTTGACGACGTGCGTGATCTTCCGCTGCTCGAGCGCCGCTTTGTCGCTCGCGACGGGCCGCCCGCCGATGTAGAGGAGGCGGTTGAGCTTCACGCAGCCGAGCTCCTCGGCCGACGACGCGCTCGGGGGCCGCGACGAGTCCGGCAGCCCGTCGCTCGCCGGGGGCAGCGCCTCGAGGTTCGCGCCGATGGGTCCCACGCGCGGCCGCCGCCGGCCGCTCGGCGACGGGTCGTCGGAGAGGATCGACGACGCCTCGGAGCCGCTCGGCGACGGCGCGAGGGGCGCGGCCCCGAACTTCGGCGCGTCGTCGTCGGGGCAGGAGGCCTGGCCGCAGTGGGCCCGCAGCAGCGCGAGCCACCGCCGCGCGTCCTCGGCGCACGCGCACTCGAGGCTCAGCACCTCGCAGCCCGTCGCGATGTCGAGCATCGTGCCGCCGCGCAGGGCCAGCCGCGTCACGCGGTCGAGCTCGATGCACCGGTTCGGCTTGCGGTGGAAGACGCGCTTCATCATGCCCCGGGGCTGGTCGACGATGCTCAGCGCCTGCTCACCGTTGTCGATGGAGACGAGGACGCGCCGCGCCTCGTAGTGCATGACCGTCCGGTCCTGGGACGTGAACCGCATCCCGGGGGCGTCGGGGGGGCGCGGCGGCGGCGCCGAGACACCGACGCTATGGGCTGCCGAGTATGAAATGTGAGGTGCGGCACCTCGGCACCTTGGGGGGGGGCGCGGCGGCGGCGCCGAGACACACCGACGCTATGGGCTGCCGAGTATGAAATGTGAGGTGCGGCACCTCGGCACCTTGAGGGACAACGTTGGCGTGGCGCATGGCATCTCGCGTCTGATGGCAGCCTATTATGATCCGACCGCCCCCGAAACAATCGAGAGCGGCTTGCGCTTCTGGTCGCGCGACGACGCGGCGCTCTACGCCTACTGGGCGCGCTGCGGCGAGGCCGGCGCGCTCTTCGAGCAGCCCGTCGCGCTCCTGCGCCTCGTCGCCTACAATCCGAGCTTCTTCCTCGGCCTCGCCCGCGCGCGCGCGGCGCGCGGCGCGCGCTACCTCTGCCCGACGGGCCACGAGCGGCGGCGCGACCGCGTCGAGGCCGACGCCAAGCGGGACGCGGCGGCGGCGCGCGACGACGCGTCCGCGTGGGCCGAGCTCGGGCTGCCCCGGGGCTGCTCGCGCGCGGCCGCGCGCAGGGCCTACAAGCGCCTCGCGCTCCTGCACCACCCGGACCGCCGCGGCTCGCGCGAGGCCATGGCCGCCGTCAACGCGGCCTACGCCGCCGTCGAGGCGTCGTTCGCCGGCGGCGGCGACGCCGACGGGCGCGACGACGCGGCCGCCGCGGCCCGGGCCGACGCCGCGGAGGCCGACGCCGCGGAGGCCGCGCGCGACGCGCGCGCGCGGCGCACCTGGGACGTCGCCACGGCCCGCGGCCTCGACGGCCTCGCGGCGGCGCTCGAGGTCGGCGCGCGCGCGATCTTCTTCGAAGAGCTCGCGCGGCGCCTCGAGGCGAGCGACGACGCCGGCGCCGTGCTCGCGGCGCCCGTCGACCCCGACGGGAACACGGTGCTCCACCTCGCCTGCGCCCGCGACGCGGCCTGGGCCGTGTCCGCGGTCGTGTCCTGCGCCGGCGCGGCCTGGCCGACGCTCCTGGGGCTCGAGAACGCGCGGGGAGACGCGCCCGCGGACGTCGCCGGGCCCGCGGCCGCCGCGCGCCTCGCGGAACTCCGCGCGGCGGCGGCGGCGGCGTCCCGGGCGAACCGGCGCGCCCCCCACGCCGGCGGCTGGTGCCGCGTTTTTTTGGCGACGTTCGGCGCGTTCCTGCCGCTCCGCGAGCTCGCGCGCGCGGCGTCGGGCGAGGACCGGCCGGGGCTCGCCCTCGCGGTCGCGGTCGTCGTCCGCGCCGCCGCGGGGCCCGACTGCCTCTACGGCGCGGCGCGCGGCGGCCTCGCGCAGGGCAGCACAAGAGAGCGAAATTCCCAACTTCAAAGGCTCCGATCTCGGCCATTTTCCACTCGTTTTGGCTGATTTTTGGACGAGCGATCATCTCTTGGAACGGTCTCGAAGCGTGGATGCGTTTTCCGGAACGCGCGCGCGCGGAACACTCACGTTGAAGCGACGTTGAATCTCTCTTGTGCTGCCCAGGCCTCGCGATCGCGCTCGCGCTCGGCCCGGCGCTGCGCGCGTCGCGGTTCCGGGCCGCGGGCGCCGCCTACGCGCTCGTCGCGCTCCCGCGCCTCGCGCGCTCGTCGCTCGTCGCGGCCGTCGCCGACGTCGCGCTCGCCGTCGCCAAGGTGCCCTACGTCGCCGTCGCGCCGCGGGTCCGCGGCCTCGCGGCGCCGGAGGCGAAGACGGCCGCCGCGGGGCCGTGCCTCGCGCTGCTGCTGTTTTCGGCGCGCGTCGGTGTGGGGGCGGTCGTCGCGCGGGTGGTGCGGTAATCGTGGGAGCGTTTTTTCTTCTGCTTTTGAACGGCAACCAAAACTTCAACCAAGGCACGTGTCGGCCGAGAGCCCTCGGGCATGGACTTGCTGCGCCCTACAGCTCGCGCCTGAGTCTCGGCAAAGCGCGAGTTCACGCTCACTATCGCTTCTGAGGTCTCGCTTCTGACTTCTCGCAACGCGCTCACGACCTGCGTCGCATTCGTCGTGCGCAACACCCACGCCTGCTTCGCACACGGCGGCAGTGGGACTTCATGGCTCTCCGGCGGGGCGTGCTCCTCTTGGTCTGGGTCGGCGCGTCGTCGTTCTCTCTGCGCGTGCGACCGGCGCCGGCGAACGGCGGCGGCGTCTTCGTGCGAGGCGGCGGGCTCGACACGCTGGAGGACGGGCCCGCGTTCGACGCGGCCGTCGCGCGGAGCCGCCGCGTCGCCGTGCTGATCTCCGCGCCCTGGTGCCGCGCGTGCCGCGCCATCCGGCCCAAGCTCAAGCGGGTGTCGGCCGAGTACGAGGCCAAGGGCGTCGCGTTCTTCGAGGTGTCGCAGCCGGACGTCGCGGACATGGCGAGCGAGTCGGAGTTCCTCGCGGCCGACGACGTCAAGTTCACGCCCATGGTCCAGCTCTACGAGGAACGACGGCGCGTCGACTGCTTCAAGGCTGGACCCAGCGGCGGCTACTTTACCGTGCGACCCAAGCTCGACGGCTGGCTCGACGGCCGCGACCCGAGCGGCATCGTCGCGCCGCCGCGCGGACCCTCGAAGTTCGAGCTCGAGCGCCGCGCGGCCGCGGAGGGGTCCGCTCCGGGCCCGGCGTAACGCGAGGTCGAGTACAACGGTTCCATCTTACGCAGCCGCCAAAGGGGGTAACATATGTCTTGAGTTGGATCGTCTGGAAATACGTCATGCTTAGTAGTTTGATCAAATACCTCATAATCTTGTGCACCATCATTAGATATGCCATTAAATATGCCTGCAGTAGTCTCTGAACTTGAAAGAATGCCCGAATTGGAAATATTGCTAAAATCCATTCTCATGATTTGTGCAAGAGTTACGTACCACGGCGCCCGTGCACCTCGAGTACCTCGCGCTGCTCGCGCTGCTCGTCGTCCTCTCCGTCGACGTCCTCGACGTCTCGCGCATCGTGGGCGCGCCCATCGCCTAGGCTCGAAAGCCCAATGCGCCTCCTCCCTGTGCCCCCCGTGTGTAAGCGAACTCGAGAGTAGATCAAATTATTGACCAAAAAAAGTTTTTGTTATCGAATTGGACCCATCATATTGCCTGCCCCCAATTCTCTTGGGAACTAGGCGCCGTGGGCCTTGTATTTTGCCTTCATCTTGGCGCCCACGACGAAAATTTCCTTCGTCGCCGTGTTCGCCGTGTTCGCGTTCGCGTTCGCGGCCTTGGCGGCGTCGGCCTTTTGCACCGGCGCAGCCTTTTGCGCCGGCGCGGGCGCCGGCGCCGGCGCGGGCGCCTTCGCCGCCGCGTTCGCGTTCGCGTTCGCGGCCTTGACGGCGTCGGCCTTTCGCACCGGCGCGGCCATTTGCGCCGGCGCGGGCGCCAGCGCCGGTGCGGGCGCCTTCGCCGCCGCGTTCGCGTTCGCGTTCGCGGCCTTGACGGCGTCGGCCTTTCGCGCGGGCGCGGACGCGGACGCGGACGCGGGCGCGGGGCTGACCCTCTGGCCCAGGTTCCGCCCGGACGCGGTGCGCCGGAGCCGGCCGAGGGCGCCGCCGGAGTCGCGCTGGCTGCTCCTGATCATGACACGCGCGATCATCGTCACGACCGTAAAGACGGCGCACGCGACGAGCGTCGGGTCGAGGTCGTCGTTGGAGCCGAGGACGAAGACGGCGATCTGGAGGCAGAATTGGGGCACGTCCTCGAACCAGCCGCTGTAGTCGACGGCGTCGATGCACTTTTCGTCCGGAAAGCCGCTTGACGCACCCGGTCCCAGCGGCCTCCGCCAGGGGAAGATGGCGAGGAGCTCCGTACTCGTCGCCGTGACGACGTGGAGGACCGCGTACATGTTGGGGTGCGTCTTCATGTGGGCCTCGTCGAGCGCGTGGCGGCCCTTGACGGCCAGGAGCACGCGCGTGTTCGCCGCCATGACCACGATGACCCACACGAGCATGGCGAGACCGATGTGGCTCACGACCGTGCGCTCGGACGCAAAGGCCGTCCACGCGAACTGCATATCACTAAAAAAGTCGAACATGGCCAGCGCAATCGCGATGTAGTTGACGTTGCCGTCGTCGCGATCCAGGTCGCGCTGCACGTACTCGACGTACTGCGTGAAGGCGGCGATGGCGAGCGCGGCGACCGCGAAGCATGCGATCTCGACGATGTCGGCGCCGCCGCCGCTGCCGCCGCCGGCGGCCACCGCGGCCACGGCCGCGCCGCCGACGATCTCGAAGGTCGCGCTGTCGACCCACAGCCCCTCGTCGGCCGCGTCGACCATGCGGATCGCGTAGGCCGCCGACGGCTCGACGTCGAGCGAGATGTCCCAGGCGACGCTCGTCACCGCGGCCGCGTCGACGTCGAGCCTGATGAACTGGAGGGCCGCGCCGTCGCGGACGAGCTGGAGGTGCACGAGGCTCGGCGCCGCCGCGCAGCGCCACTCGATGGCCCAGGCGAAGCCCGCGTCCCAGGTCGTGTCGCCCCAAATCGCCGGCTCGTCGAAGTGGCACCAGCTCGTCGGGAAGGAGCTCGGCGCGGGCGACGGCGCGGACGTCGTCGGCGTCGCGGACGGCGGGTGCGTGTAGCCGAGCATCGTCGGCGCGCCCGTCTTCAGCGACACCGTGGGCGTGATCGTGGGCGTGATCGTGGGCTTGAACGTCGGCGGCGCGGACGCGGCGATAGAAAACGTCCCGGGGGAGGACCCCTCGACGCCGTTGGCCAGGTCCGCCACCCTAAACGCGTAGCCGCTCCCCGCGGCGAGGCTCGCGTCGACGGCGTAGGCGTAGGGGCTCGTCGCATCGTAGCCGACGAGCGCCTCGGACCCGTCGGGAGCGACGAGGTAGACGCGCGCGGGCGCGCCCGCCAGGGACGCGAGCGCGCCCGTGTAGCGCCACGAGACGGTCACGACGGCGCCGTAGACGTACCAGGGATGTTCCACGTCGGCGACGACGAGCCCCGGCGCGGACGGCGCGGACGTCGGCGACGCCGTCGGCGCCGCCGTCGGCGCGGCCGTAGGAGGTGTGGTCGCCGCGATGGAGAAGAACGCACCGTCGGACTCGACTTCGGTCAGATATTCCTTGGCTCGGAGGAAGTAGTCCGATGCGGCCGCGAGCGACGAAGGAACGACGTAGGACGCCGCGAGGATGCCGTCGCTCCGCGACACAGCAGCATCAGCGACGAGCGCGACGAAGGTGGGCCCCGCGGGCCAATTAAAGCGCCAGAGCGACAGGTCCCAGGTCCGCGCGCCCGCGAACGTGTCGCCCGCGAAGGACCGGAGGGACACCTCGATGACGACGGTGTCGCCGTAGGTCCAGG